TTTTTTTACATTGTAGTGAACTGTCACAACAGTAGCAGCACCAAAGCAGCTGGCTTTGCTTATTTTTATTGTCAAACTGAAGACTCCATTCATCTATCTACCGGAGGATGTGACCGTAATCTTTTCTTGATTATTGTTTAGACAAGTATTGGCAAATAAATACAACTGGTGATCAATTAATTATTTGCCAGAATGTCAGCTCTGATGATGCATCAGTTTGTCTTATAGAGGCCATGACCAACCAGTGATTCCTGGAATGCAGGTTGAGGAGGCCTCCGAGCAGAGTCAGCCAGTATATGCTCTTACTCCTGGGGGAGAAGGGGAAAAAATGTATCGGTCTATTAAACACGCCCAATTATCATAATTATCACAACTCTGCGAGCTTCAGAAAAGTCAAATGATCCCTCATGTGGTTCTGTGTGTCTATAATCGACCATTTGCACGGATGTGTTACACCGCCGTGTGGCTCAACCACGGGTCCGCGCTGCACCTATTGTTAATTTCTTGCAACTATGAGATGACTGCGCAGAGCTTTTTGCTTGGGGTGTGGTTGGAACTCGTGGAAAAAAATAGATCCTCCTCTCCACGGTGAAAATCCGACGCATCCACGCCATATTTGTCTTCTGACCTCCATTGTGTGTGTGTGTGTGTGTGTGCTGTCTGGTGGAGCAATAAACCTAAATATTCCTTCTATGCTTTTGGTGATAAAGAAAAATGAGTCACTGGCTCTTTGCAGCGTCATTACTGCCCAAACAGCATATAGTAGATTAAACCTAAGAGAAATAATAGCATCATATATTCCACGCCATTCGTGGAGGGTTTACAAAGTGACACACTGCAAAGTTTTTTACAGTAGCCTGTTGACTAATGCACTCCTTCACAGCATGGGTGACTCCATCGAGACCTGAAGAGCACTGCGGGGGGCTCTCCTTCTATAAATATTACAACTGTTGTAATAACAACCAGTGTGATATAGGCTTATATTATCAATAATAATAATACTACTACTAATGATAATAATAAAACCATACTTTATGCTATGTTGCGGTTTATATGGACCTTTTAAATAATTGTTTAGTGCATATTCTCACCTGTTGTATTTTGTGCACCTAGCGAGCACCTGGGATGCACCACACGATAATAAGTGTTCAATGGCTATTTGACATGTACATGCACTTCTCTCTGCTCTACAGTGAAAACTCCACACAATAAAATCCCGTTTTGTTTATTCTAACTCGATGAGAGAGAGAGAGAAAAAAAAACATCCATAGTTTTCAATTATTTAATTCTATTTGTCATTTTTAAAGTGCATGTTTATAAAGATAATTCTAAAAAATACTTAGGCTAATAAAAACAATAACAACTGAGCTACTATTTATACTAATAATTTCGATAGTAGTAGCCATACCAATCTAATAATTAATTCAAATTCTTTCATTAACAGTTCTTGTTTCTTTATAAGTTTAAGTAAGGGAAATATGACATATGCAAGACATCTCATCCCTGGACTATATGCTGCAGCCTTTAGGGACTTTTAGTTAATTAGTGAAGTTATTCTTTCACTAATATAAGCTCCCAGTGAGCCAAGACTGCCTGTGCTTTTAAAACTTTTAAACATAGTAATAGTAATTTGTCATTTTTGGTAAGTATAATCAACCTGCAGTTTCCTCTTCACTGATCCAGTAAATCATGAAACTTTCCTCTACGTTGAGCCTCGCAGTGCTTCTGACTTCCTGAGATCCTGAGGAGCACAGTGCATATTCCAGCAGAGATCCATCACACAACATTTATTTAATTGCACTTATTAAAAGTTGTGCACTTAGCGAAAAAGTTTCAGGCGCAGTAGCAGAAGCTTGAGACACAAGGAGCTGACCTCGTGAGGTCAATCCAGACTGAGGGGTAGCTCCTGCTGTCCAATCACAACGCTCCCCCTGCCCGTGAACGTCCGGGTCTTTGGCCAATCAGGAGGCGCAGCGCGGAGTCAGAGGGGACAGCGACCGCAGATAAAATGTTTGACTTGCATCCATCCTCTCAAACCATCCTCTCAATCCTCGCAGGACTGTTAGCAAACTGCACTTTGATTTAAACTCTGACCTCGGCTCACAGGATACCAGTCAACAACACTTTAGTGGGATCTAGCTCTCGTCGAGGCAACCTGTTACTCAAGGGAAAAAAAGGGAGGCTGCACCGCGTCTGTAGCGAAGTATTACAACGAGACAACAACAAAAAAGAAAGGTGTTTGTGGGATTAAAAGCGACAAGAAAAAGGCAGCTTCGTTTTAAACTGTTACCTGACAGAGAGTCAGGGATAATGACAGCGCTGGCAGGAGGTTTACCCAGAATGATGAGACCAACTCCTCACCAGAACTATCCGCGGGGAGGATACTCTCTGGAAGGTAAGACACTCTGCCACCAGTTGCTGCTCACAAGCTGAAGACAAATTCAACTTTTAGATCGCTTCAGCAAAGTTGACAAGCTCGAGTTCAGGAAAGATTAAAAGCTTAACAAAAAAAATCATTATTAACGACTCATCTAATCCTGCTGTATTTTGTGTTTTACATTTTACAAAGCAAAACAAAATCTACTCCGGGTTAACTCTACAGCAGTGGCAACAGGCTGTTTTCATTTTAAAGTTATTTATTAATGCTATAATTATTAATTTATTATTATTATTATTATTATTATTATTGTTGTTGTTATTATTATTTATTTCTTAGCTTATCACATTGATTGGGTGAGGCATGGTTAACATTTGTCAGAAAGAAAAATATTTGGTTTCTTATACGACTTGCAGAAATGTTCTACTTCTTTTCACATTATAGGACGAATGTAGCCTGTAGTGTGTGAGCGATGTATTAAACTTTGCAGTGCAGTCGAGCCTTTCATTGTCCATATTTGTGTATTCATTTGCGCTTTAAAAGTGTCGCCTAACTTTGTGGATTATATCCAGGAAATGTTTGGTTCTCATCCCCAAAAATGCATGTTTTTTTTTGTAACGCAAAGACAAGACCCATTATTTAGTCTACACCTTTGTTTGAGTATTAAACTAACTGAATCCTATGCGCTGCTGTCCAGTGTCCACTCCGTTGGGACAGGGTCGGGTCAACCAGCTCGGTGGCGTCTTCATAAACGGCAGACCTCTCCCCAACCATATCCGTCATAAAATCGTGGAGATGGCCCATCACGGTGTCCGGCCGTGTGTCATCTCCCGTCAGCTGCGGGTGTCCCACGGCTGCGTCTCCAAAATCCTCTGCCGGTACCAGGAGACAGGCTCCATCAGGCCGGGGGCCATCGGAGGCAGCAAGCCAAAGGTGAGACACACATACGGCTGGTGATGTTTTGGTAAATTTATAAGATATTCAGGAGTGAAATTCATAAAACACTCAGGTTGATATGTTATTTAAATTACATAGCCTATGAGTTGTGATCTAATTTTAATAAGTAGCCCACAACCTCCAGTGTTTGGCTGTGAAACAGAGGGTAAACAGTAATCTATGAGTTAACGAAACAAAACTTTGTAAAAAGAAAAGAAAAAAAGAAAGTAGTTTGGAGATATATTTTACAATTTGAGCAGGTTTGACTTTAAGGTCCTCCTCTGAGTTAAACCATCTGTTTTTATGAGACGACTTCAGCCCTCCAGACACTTAACTTCAGCAAATAATTCCAAGTTTTCTGTCTCGCCTGTAGTTGGCCTCGAATATAAAGAAAATAGTGACAAACTCTTCTTCTCCCCTTCCTCCCATCAAAGCAAACTGCTTCTCCGGAGGTGGACAAGAAAATCGAAGAGTACAAGAGAGAAAACCCGGGCATGTTCAGCTGGGAAATCAGGGACAAACTACTGAAGGATGGGGTCTGCGACAGGAACAACATCCCCTCAGGTAGGCGACAGTTTCTGGACCTGCAATGAATAGAAAAATACCAGGAAGGATGTGAAAAGAATTGGCTTATTTTTCCTTTAAAAAACAACAACAAAACTTTCATACTATTTTAATTGGGCACATTGAAAATCCTCACCTATTTATGATCGCATATGCGTAAACATGTTTTTTTAAATACGGGACATCTTTGGTTTTTTTTGTGTGACTTCTATTTCTCCAGATATATTAAACATGTATTTCTCATACTTTTTTTGTTCTCAGTGAGCGCAATCAGTCGCATCATGCGGTCTAAATTCGGCGGAGTTGGTGACGATGACGAGGATGATGATGAAGTGGTGAAGAGGGAGATGGAGGAGAGCGAACCGCGGACAAAACACAGCATCGATGGCATCCTGGGAGACAGATGTAAGTGCAGCATTATGATTTTACATCTTCGCTGTGTGCTTTACAAAAAAGTGACCCTGGTCTGGTTGTGAGAGGTTGGTTGTCGGCAGCAACCCAGAAAGAAAACTTTAAATGATACTACTACTACTACTACTACTAATATAATTAATAATAATAATCATAATAATAGCAACCTCACTAAATATTGGGATTATTACACTATATTATTTTTATCACCAACTGTTTTTAGTTAAGCTTCAAGTGTTTACGCATGCGTTCAGGCTTCTGAGATTTAACAAATGTGCTGAGATTTTTTTTTAAAGTGGATAATCAAACATTTGTCTAACTTCCAAGCCTGAGAATTTTTTTTACACACAATCGGACACTTGAGGATGAACTTCATGGGACAAAGCAGGGAGAGTCCATTGAGACTCACACCTCAGTTTGACGAGCACAAAAGCCAAACTCCAGTGAGCGGCTCAGTGGTGTACAAAAAGACGCCAGGGCCTTTCAAAACGGGGAAAGAAAAGGAGAAAAAACTGCGCTGACAAAAGGCCGGGAGAAGACATTATGAACCCGCAATGAGCGATGAATTATTCAGGGACACCAATAGGCCCAGTGCGACCTGGTTTATAGACTGCTCAAAAAAGTGCCAATTTGGGGGCTTTACCCCACTGTTTACAGTTTGTCACTCAGAAAAAAAAAAAACGCACGGGAAAAGAAGCTCAGAGATAGGCAAACACCTGTTGATTTACGACCTGTTGGGATCTGAGGAGCATTGCAGCAAAAGGGAAGGTTGCTGTTGGAGACATAATGGCGTCTGTAGTTAATTATTGATGACTGGATTCTAGAAACAGTGTCTTGGATCATGTAATGACGCACAGCTTTATTCCTTGTTTTCATTGTTGGGGATTTGTTTAGTTTTGGTTTCGATGAGAGAGATGATAACTTAAGGGCTACAGAGAAATGAGAATTAAGTTAACGCATTTGGGAGCTGGCAAAAGGCTCGTTATTTTTGTCTGAAATGTGTTGTCAAATTGAATGGTGCCGTTACTTTTGCGCACGGAGCTTTTGTCACAGTCTTTGCGCATGTGAGCGTGACGCCTTCAGCCAGTGAGCGCAGGGAAACCCTTCTCTTCTCTCCACTAGATTAAATCCAAACCTTTTATTTCTCTCCACTTTCATCTCAGACAGAGTACGCCCCTTTCCTTTCCGCCTAGGGCGCACACATTCATGCAATATCTGTGGGCACTTCCCTCTCCCTCTTCCAGGCGAGACACATCCCCAGAGCTCATTTTTAAAAAAGTAAATAAAATAAAATAAATTAATTTTAGAGACAGAGAAGACGATTCAAATGGGAAATAATCAAATTAATCAATACATTCGGATGCATCATTGCTTTTTAAATTAATCTGATTCTCTTTAAAGTTATATATATATATTTTTAATAAGATAAACCTTGAGTTGTGTGTTTGAAACAACTCAAAACATGTGATTAGAAAAAAATAAAATTTTGAAATATTCTTTTAGGCTGGTATGATTTTTTTTGAAAGAAAACAAATAACATTAGCTATTCTACATCAAATAGGTGACACTCTACATGCAAACAGCTCCAATGCACTTTCCCCCCATTGATATACAGAACAGCACTATTTCATTCTTGTGTCTCTTTGTGGAAGTAGTTGTTGTTTTTCTCTTTTATAGCTTCTTCATTAGAATGTGAAAAGGGTGGTTTGGGGACTGAGAGAGTGTCTTCTGGCCAAATATTGATTAAGTAGGTGTTTGCAGAGGCTATTGTTGTGGTGGAGAGAGGCCTGTTGCTCTCTGCCCCTTTCTCCTCTACCACTATTGTTGGCTTTCCTTAAGTGCTAAGATCAAAGCTGACTCATTTAGATTTATTTGTCTGGGAAAAGGACTGCTAAGGTTTCTGGGATAAAGTATACCAGGCAGCCTCAGGTCTGCATGGCATTAGCAAGTGGCTGGAACATTGTGGGAAAAGGATGTTTGCTGGGATGAATCTGATGCTAAGTTGTTTATATCTCCTTTAACTGTTGAGTTATGGAGGTAGAATTTACTCCAGTGTGCAGAATTGAAACAACATGCATGGTTGAGCTGCAGCTTTAGATGTGTCCGAATTAATTTTTTGTGCCATTTATCACTTTTGTCCATAAAGCAAGAATATGTCCAACTCAGTGTATCTCTAGTAATTAATTTTAACTGGAAGACTGAATAATGTGGAGTGCCAAGATTTTGTTTTCTTACCATGAGTGGCACTGAATTAATTGATAGCATCCTTTCCTCTATTTATTACTGTTAGCACTTTAGCCTCATTTAACTAATTAAAGTAACCAAAGTCATGAAAGAGGAGTAGCCACTCTTGTGGGATCCATTTATGGCAGTGGGGGTGAAGGGGAGAAAGAAGAAGAAGAAAAAGAAAGCTCAGAAATACAAACAGTCAAAGGGATAACTTTTCTTTAAAGGGAATCCCGCAGTGCCAAATTGAATGAGCCCAGTTCTTTCAAATCTGCCATGGTGAACGCAGTCAACATGTAATAATTGGTTTCATTGAGGTGCATTCCAACAATCTGCTGCCATTCTCCTGCCTCTATTGTCCGGAGGCAGGCAAATAGCCAGAGGGACAGGAGGAATCAAGTGCTGACAAAACATGAAAGATTTAGCTGCTTTTGTCAAAGGAGCTGAGTAGGACTTTGTTTGTGTAAATAAACTGGGTTACTGGCTCCCTGTGACTTTGGCATGGATTTAGAGTGAGGGAAATTTAGAGAGTAAGGAGAGCAGAAAGATCATATTTGTGTTCGGAAGTTTACCATATTTTAAAGCAGCTAAAGTGTGTATGCTGTACACTTTCAGCTCAAAGGCAGTCAAAGGGGAAATGATGACGGTAGCAAACCTCCACTAGCAGCTGCCACATCCGAGCAATCTAATCCAATTTTCAAAGTTCAAAACTTATATTCTCATGAGACATCTAAGAACATAAACAGATACATTTTCTCTCACACACAGGGAGCAAAAGAAACTAAGTAGCATGGCAATAACCCACGACTGTAAACAGAGAGATAGACGTTTGAATTTCTAGAACTTTGTCAGGGGTCCTTGCATTTCCACGGTGAATGAGTTTAAGATTGGAGGTTTAGAGGAGACCGTCTCTACTAGTCACAAGAGACAGAAGGCCTCAATGCAACCAGAGGAATGTCTGCTGCAGCCACATTTCCATTTTCCTCTCAGGGCTGGATAATGGAGAATTTTATATGTGGGCCTCACTCTATGTTTTCCTGTGTTAATAGTGCTCATAATGCTAGTTAAGCCTGGTGTACTGCTGGGGAAAAAACAAACCAAAATTCATAATATATTTCTGCCTTTGAGAATTGTAGATAGATAGATAGATAGA